ATCCTACTGTTAGTCTCTCTCTCTCTCTCTCTCTCTCTCTCTCTCTCTCTATATATATATATATATATCTTGTTTAAATTTTTAATTGTTAATAAATTTGTTTTTATTCATCCACAGAAGTTCACACACACACACACATATATATATATATATATATAACTTGTAGTAGATGAAATTTGATGTTAATACAGTTTTTTCAAATATTAATTCATTAAATAAATTTAATTTTTTAATTTTAAGTTTAATCTGCGTTATTTCTGGCGCAGTTAGAACTACCTGCAACAGATAGCGCCAGTATGTTTTTCTAAGGAATTTTTTTCTTGGCTTCAAATACATTTTTTAAAACTTGTAGTGAATGACACTTAATTATGCTTGTCTTAAGTGCGGCCCAAACGCAAAAAATGAAAATAATTAAATGTACACATTTTTATTAGAAAAATAAATGCTTGCAATATTTTTCATAAATAATCGATTGGTTGACATTTATTTTGAAATAAAAATTTAAATAAAACATCGTATCATTCCATTACACATCAGAGAAATTCACGTGGGAAAATTGTGAAAAGGAAAGTGTATTGAGCGTTGTTATAGAAATCATTGAAGTTTCATGAGAGCTAAAGGGCGTAATCATAAAAATGTCAAGAGTTTCTTAATGTAACGGGCACTGAATTTACAGATGTTATTTATTATGCAGAAGTAAGATGGTTCAGTAAGGGGGAAAAGCTCAGAAGATTTTACGATTTGAGAACTAAAATAGAAATATTTATGGAAAAAAATCAATTTATAAATAATACGCTCCAAGCAATAACAGTATTTGAAATAGTTGAAATTTTGGCACAATTCAGTGCTTTGACTGCCCATAAACCTGTGAGTTGCACAAAATGTGCTGCAATAATTTTTTATTTAATTCAAGAATTTGAAAGTAGATTTCAAGATTTTCGAAAAAATAAAGGGTATTTCAACGTATTTTATTTCACATATTTTCACATGTATCCCATTTCTTTTAGAAATAAATAAATTACCTTCAAATCTTCAAATAGAATGCATTGAACGGCAAAGTGATGTTTAACTGAAAGAAAAATTTGGGAATGTTTCTTTACAAGAGTTTTATAAGAATTCCCCCCTCACGATAAATATCCTAATTTTCACAGTCATGCTTTATTAATGTCTTCAGCTTTGGGCACTACCTAGTGAACATTTATTTTCAAGGATGAAACATATAAGAAACCAAAATAGGACAAAGATCACTAACAAATATCTTGAAAATGAATTAAGAGTTGCAACCTCGTTTATTGAACCCGATATCGATTTGCTTATTTAACCAAAGCAAATTCATCCATCTCATTAATTTGAATTTTTTCCATCTTTATGAAATCCAAACTAAATGAAACGAAACTCTTACAAATTTAAAATAAATATGTGTGTACCTATATATGTCTAATCTAAATTTTTTTAAAAAAATTATGATGCAAAGAAGTTAATTTATTTTAATAAAACTACACAGAGTTAATTTTTATTTCAATTTGTTGAAAAAATATTATATGTGTGGCCCAGCTTTTTTTCCCTTGCAATGTGGCCCTCAAACGGTTATAGCTTAGACACTCATGCACTAACCGTTAAGACAGTTTTTTCAAATATTAATTCATTAACTAAATTTAATAAATGAAAACATTTTCTTAGTATTGTTATTGAGATAATAAATACTTAAATTCAATATCGCGATAAATGAATGAACGAGATTTTTTTGAAATTCATCTCTCAGAAATAGATTTTGTTACAAAAAAAATTTCTCAGGATTCTTTTTGTTCATAACAGAAGTATACAGTGAAATTTAAATAATACTCGTTAACGCTTTTGGCGAAGCCATTCGGTCAAGTGATCAGACCCTCCTTTCTCAATCTTACACACCCCGCCAACGTGAGCGTTTTGAGTTACGACAGATTGAACTTCCTTCAGACCCTCTACACTGTAAGTCTTATGTGGCACCAGAATATGAACCCACAACCCAATGGACGTGTTTGTGACAATGACTTCTAAGCTACCGTAGTCACTAGAGTAAAGTCAAACCGGAGGTTTAGTTCCTTATTAAACGGATAATTGTTTCTCATTGAATTTAGAGTATTACCGTTCGTTGAAATTCATAATTCTTTTTACTATTAATGTCCCAAATCAAAAGTTGCTGTCTTACTTTGAAAACGACACTTTCGGTCAAATATTGATTTTTGAAATTCAATATCGAATTAAAGTAACTCGCGCGTAGCCTTTTGAAATCTGCTTACAATTTGTTTCTGTGTCCAAGAGAGCGGCCGCAGTAGCCTTGTGGTCAAGGCAACAAACTCGTGGCTGGCGTGTCCGGAGTTTGAGCATAGAAAGCTGCTAAAGAATCACCGTGTAGGGGTCGATGCACCTTCAATCAACGGAGTCATGAACGTACTCCTGTTGGTATGGTGTGGAAGTTAGCAGAGGGGGGTGCCAGCTCAGGTGTCACCCTCGCCCCTTGACCATGGATGAAAATTGCAAACTCCGTCCCCAAAAGCCCTCGAGTAGCTGAATAGTGAGACATTAATATTCATCCACTGTGTTCTATAGAACTTTAGATATAGATATATGTATTTGAATTTTATTGTTATGGGTAACTTTGGAAATTCTTTTTCTGTGTTGTTTTTCTCAAAATCAGATTTTCAATAATTTACTCTTCTTTATTACACCATAACTCAAAAAGTTGTGAATGAAATTTTGTTTCATTATTGCGTAAATTGCTTTTTTATTGATGATTTAATGTAAAGTTGTAACAACTTTTATAGATTTCTTTTTCTATTTCTGTTTTTCTAATCTAGTGTTATAATGTTTTGAATGCAGTGGCAGTTTTACAAAAGGGTCACACAATCTCTGAAAGAAATTGCTATCCTCTCAATAAGTTTTACAGAGTATGGATACATTGATTTAAAGAGCAGCTACTATTTATTTCGCAATAGCCTTTTTGAGGTATTTTTATGTACAATTTTAGCAAAAAAAAAATTAATTTGGCTTATAATTTGTGTATAATTTTTTTAGATGAGTTCAATACGATAATATACATATTTAAAATCATTTCTTAAAATATTTTTTTTAAAAAAATTCCTTCTTAGGATGGATCTAGTACCTTTAATAGATTTACTTTATGCAAAAACTTTATCTTTCTTATAGTTTTTATATAACTTCCCACAAATTCGGGATATTCAAACAAGTTAAAAATGAAAAAACTTTTTTAATTGATCGCTCCATAATCTGGCAAAAATATAAATAAACGATAAGAAGGAGAAGTCGTACATCTACTTAAGGGGTGTTGGAAACCTCTCTCTCTCTCTATACCGACAATGTTAAATTGGCTGTTTTCGATGTACCTTTTCTCAAAATCTGTTTTATGTACATGCTTGAAATTTTTCATACTATTAAAGTACACCTCTCTCATTATACTAAAATGAGCTTTTTGCTAATTTTGAATTTTTTAATAAATTATGAAATATTTTATCAAACACTGCGAAATTTGACCCATTTTTTACTTAAAAAATTTGTAAAAATTAAATTTTTGAGTTTTTTACAAAAAGCTCATTTTAGTATATATTAGACATCATTATAAATAATTCATAAAAAATTTACATACCTGTGAACAGTAGTTTCTCAGAAAAGGTACATCGCACATTAAAATTTACATTTTGAGATAAATTGATTTTAATGTATACAGTGAGACTTCTAATTGGCTAGGAAATAAAACAATAAAAGGCTCAATTTAAAATAAAAGATGCATGTTTTGGTTTATATCAGTCGTTACACTTTTAAGCAAAAACAATTTTAATTTTCGCCATTAAAATCGGCGTGGCCCAAATTCAACGATTATTTAAAAATACGTTTTAAGGGCTTCTAAATACCCTAGAGGTAAAAGTAAGGTATTTTTAAAAAGGTTAAAATCTATACAATTTGAAAATGTAAAAATCTCAAATTGTCAAAAAAATAAGATTTTAGCTTTCCAATACCCCTTAATCAATGAGTATCAGTTTGAAAACCCTTATAATAAATAGATTGTTAAACTCTTCAAAATATGACATTAAATCAAACCACACAGTGAAAAGAAACTATCGAGGAATCGCGTTAGTCAACAAGATTCTAAAAATAAGTAAGCTAGTTTTCTGAGATATGAAATAAAATATATTTCCTTAGTCATCAAAATTAAAATAGTTACAACAAAATGAAATATTTCTTTACAGTGCATTAGCTCTTAAAATTATTGAATTATAATTTTTAACTAAAATCAAGGATATGATATAAAAAAAATGGGCCGTTAAAAGTTCATAGTCTGAAAGCCATGACTATTACCAATTAATGAAATTTCGATGTACCCCATCACATCTCATATTTAAAGTAGCATTTTGGAAAAATATATGCAATGTTTCAAATGTTTAAAGTCTAAATACGGTAAAGCAATAAATATAAATACTATACTGTTCCAATGAATTGGGACAAACATTTTCTTCTTATGTGAGTGTTATTTCCCGAACCGCCTCCAACCGGATAGATCTGCCCAGAAGTCATGCGATGGATCGACTTTGACTATCATTTACCCCTTTGATTGGTTTTAGTACATTAGTAGCTCAGGTGGGGTAGCTGGTGGTTATTATTTCGCGTTCCACGTAACACTTTTGCTTGTTCAGAGATGGATATTACTCCGAGGAAACGTTCAGATATAATAGTTTTTAATGAGCACACTTCTATTACTGGGTGAGATATAGCTACGTTAGTTGTTGTTGTCGTGTGTTTTTGAAGTTATACTTCTTTTTTATCCTGGGATACATTTGAAATACAAGTGGAAGAACAGAGACATACAACAGAAACAGAAGAGTATACACTTTTATTACCGATGATGATCCCAGCATATAACAAGGAAGGGTGCGCTGCTTTCCACTCGAGATATGAATCCATGACAGGCGAAAGTCCAACTTCTTTTCCCGAAGAAAATACAACCATGCCTTGCTCGGGATTCGAACCCGATTCCGCTCGGTTACAAGCCGAGTGTCTTATCCACCCTACTGGCTGGGCGGTATCTACGTTAGTTGGTGTAGACCAGGGATGGCGAATGATTGACACGCGTGCCATTGATGGCACGCGGTACAATATTTTGGGCACGCCACCGATCAAAACGGTTTGCATTTAAGTTTAGAAACTATATTATTAGCCCAAAAGGAAGGAACCCCAAACTTGAAAAACTATTTCAAAGATTAAGATGTACATGAGAAACCAGACAAAGAAATTGTTATTGAGGAACTTATTTCTCTAATTGATTCTTCAATCAAGGCATTTTCAGCGAAATTTTCTCAGTTCAATTGATTGAATATTAAAGTCGTACTTTTCAGCTACGCGAGAGCTTTTGGTGACGGATCACGTAATTTTTAACCACGGTTAAGTGACGTGGACGACACCTGAGCTGACACCCCCTCTCCTAACTACCACACCACACCAATGGGACGTTTGAGCTCTCGACAGATTTAACGTGCATCGCTGCCCTACACGGCGAATCTTTAGTGGTACTGGGCTCAAACTCGTGACAAGGCAAGTCGCGATCCGATACATATACCACTCGGCTACCGCAACCACTTTCTTAGTTCAAAGAATTATCAGAAACGTTAAACTTTATTATGTACCCTGATGAGACTTCATTTGATAAACTGAACTTGCCCCAATTTGATTGGTTAGAAATTGAAGAAGTTTTGAAATGCAACTTAGTGATTTCTAGTCTAGTTCAATATGGATTCAAAAACGTATTGAAACAAGGAAAAAGGGGAATTGATTGAAACAGAAAGATTAACAAGCGATATAAGTAAAAATGCCAACAACGAAATTTTGGAAACATTAAACTCGATTCCAGATACATTTAACTGTTTGAAGAAGCAGGCTCATGCTATTTTATCCATACTTTCATCGACCTTTGCCTACGACTGAATGCCTACGACCTTTAGAGATGAATAACATTAAGAAACCGTTCGGCAGATGACTCTAATTCAGCATGCATTCTGCTAAAAGTAACATCTTACAATCCTAATCTAAGCTATTTGTCATCTACATATATATATACAGCAAGAACAGAAGTCACACTAATATTACTTAAATTCAATTACATGAATATATATATATATAACTCAAACATTTACTATTATGAAGTGCAAAATATATTTTTTCGTAGAGTGTTTTGTGTTGTTAGTATTTTGCTTTATTATTTTCCCAATAATCCCAAATCAAAATTATTAAGTCTCTACCTCATTAAGCATTTCCTTAGAAAAAATCCATAAAGGTCCATTTGCGCTTGCATATTTGCAAAGAGGATCGCTGAGTAGGGGCGTAGCTACCACCGTATCAATGATACGGGGCCCCCAAGCTGAAGGGGCCCCAACATGTATAACTACAATCCCAATAACAGGGATATAAAAAAGGGTTCCGAAGGAATTTTGATACAAGGTTCACCCAGAACTAGGTGCGCCAGGTGTCGCTGAAGTCACAGTCAAACTATATTTAGTGGGTCCCCCTCTTTGGACCTGGCATCGCAACGTTTCTAAATACAGGGTGTCTACAAATTAGTTGAGCAAAAAGAATGATTCACTGCATGTAATTTACAGGGGAAAAAATTAAAGAACATGTTATAAGATAGAGAAAGAGTCCAAGTTTACCAGTACCACAAAGGCTTGAAGTGGCTTCCTTTCGTTACTATACAAATGTCCCATCGGTAAATCAGTTCTTGCCACAGATTTGTAAGCATGCTTCCATCGATCAAATTAATTGCAGGCTTAATTTTAGTTCAGGAATGGATGTAGGAAATGATGGAGCGTCTGGGTGGCGGTGCACGCCAACGATCAAAATATTTAGCATTTTATTTCAAAATAATAAAGTTCACTATGAAGTATTACGAACAAATGCGAGTGATCGGTCATGGGGCGGCGAGGAGCACACTCGTTTGTTATTGTCTTGCCTTAGTTATGTCGTGGACTACAATTGCAAAGTTTGTCTACGCATATCATAGTCAATTTCATTGATCAACTCTGTTTTAAAGTTTCTTTGCATTATATTTATGATTTTTAAGTTTTATTTAACATGGCTAGTTCAGCGGGAAAAAAAGGGCAAGATAGTAAGTGTAACAGAGATTTTCAAATTTAGTGAATATAGAAATATGGCATGATTAGTAAAGGCGACAAAAAGGTGTGTGTTTTATGTTCTGGAATAGTGGTACGCAGAACATCGTCTGTAAAACGACATTTCGAAACACATTGCAAATCCACTTGTCAAAAGAGAACCACATCAAAAATAATTAATTGCTTAAAAACCGATTGGCAGATGACTCCTATTGAGCATGCATTCTACTAAAAGAGTAATATCTTATAATCCTAATATAAGTTATTTGTCATCCATATACACACAATCTGTAACAACAGAAGTCTCATCAACGTTACTTTAATTTGAATTACACGTATAACTAAAACATTTACAATTATACAGCGCAAAAGAAATTTTTTTCGTAGTAAATAAAGAGTTTTGTGTTTTCTTAGTATTTAGTTTTATTATTTTCCTAATAATCCCAAGTCAAAATTATTTGGCGGGACGTCTGTATCTCATTAAACACTTTAGAAAAAATGGCACATAGATCCAAAAAGGTTCACCACCCCTGGTGTAGACAAATCAAGTGTTTCAAGAATTTTAAGGGGATCTGGCACATCCATAGTAACACAAGTACCTTTTTCTCAGAAACTCCTCGTGGATAAAATTTTTACAACAGTTTATGTGTACTATCAATAAAACTTTAACTAAAGGGGTTTTTTTTGTTTAAAATTAAAATAATTATGAATTTTTCAAAAAATGCCCAACTTTCCCCCCTAAAATTTAGTTTAAAAAAGCCTTATCTAATAAAGTTTGCTTGATATACCTAATTCCCTCTATTAAAATGTGTAAACATGTTAAAAGTCTGCTCATTGATAATTTGAGGATTATATGATTAGTTTTAGAGAAAAAGATACATAAAAAAAGTAAAAAATATTCCATTTTGAGAAAACAGGCTTTAAAGTATCCGAACACGTTCAAAGTACTTTTTGACAAAATAAGGTATTTGAACATTATAAATGCTTTTTCAGGACTCATTGGTAATAAATACTAATATTTAACCAACAATATTTAAAATAAATTTCCTAAATTTTACAAAAACCACAATTATAAGTGAATTTTTAGCACTATTTTTCTAATACTTCAAAGCAATTAGAGAAAAAAAGAATAAACTTGTATTAGTAAAAGTATTACTCAAACAGATTAGATGCATTTATCTAGATAATGTACTAAAATTTTAAAGTTTTATTAAAATTTGAAAATTTTAGAGCTGATTGAGTAAGCATTATAAGAAAAGTCACATTCTTTATGATACCATTATTTAAATAACAAGCCCTAATTCAAAAAGTATTCATACAATAAGAAATATTTTAGTACATTCTCTAGAAAATAACATAAATATCAGGTTCAAAAAGTTTTATAGAAATGCATTTGTAATATATTTTGAGTTATCAGACTCGTCATGATAGATTTTGAACAATTTAAATACCCACTTCAAGAGATAAAATACCCACTTTCGGTTTTCCTAACTTTATAAAATTGATTGTAACATGGCCTCTAGGTAGCGTAGAAACAAAACAAAGTATTTTTTGTAAAGCTAGAAGATAGCTCTACTCAATAAAAAAATATATCTGTCTTGAATGAATTGGGTCATTTTCAACGTGTTCGGATACTTTAAAGTAAAGATTTGTAATTTTTGAGCATTCACTTTTTTGAGTACTTCCAGAAGCATATGAAGCATTTTCTTTACTCTTTGCTCTTACAAAATGCTCTCTCTTCTCATTTTCTTTTTTTCATTATTTTTAACAATTTAGCCTTTTTTTAGGGGGTCTCAAGATGCTTCCGTTCAGCTACACGAATCCTACGCGCACCTAATTTTTTGAAGCACAATTATAATTTGGTTCAACATCCCAATGTTTTAAGACCATTAATTTTGCTACATGACTCCTATTGAACTGCGCAATAGCCACATTTACCCCAATTTTAGCTATTTTAATTCCGCAAATATAGATTTTGTAATCACTGACCATATGGTGTTATTAATTGACTTTTTTTGAACAAAAGGCGTTTACCCATACACTTTTGGATATTCCCAATACACTCTAATTCTCCCACTTGAACATCATATGGATTTGCGCTCATCAGAAATGTATACAAGGGAAAACACAAGTGTTCTTAGCAGAGCTCATTTGATGCGCCTCAAGGAGTAACTTCATTAAACAAATAAATAAAAACACTTCTAATTACTGTGTATCACTTCATATCATACATCACTTTAAACAGAAATATTTGAACTTTTAGAAAATATCAAAAAATGAAAATCGATAGTTTTTCGAAAATTCACGTGCCTGATATCTTAAGAAAATTTTAAGATTTCTGATGATCGTCTCCAAAAAGAAAAGGAAAACTACTCCAAGAACTGATAAAATTCTAATAAGAAATAGCAAAATAAATCCAAGCACAGTCTTTCGAAGGAATTTATTGGGTTATGGTGTTGAGAGAGAAGTGAGTACCTCAACTGTGTAACGAAAATGGTATTGAAAATTAGCCATAAGGCATCAAGATCGAAGAAAAAGTAACTTCTAACTCAGAAAACAATGAGAAAGCGTTTAACATGGCTATTAAAATACCGATCCTGGACTGTTAACGACTAAAAAAAGTGATTTTCTGAGATAAATAACATTTATTTGTGCAGGGATAAAAAATAAAGTGTAGTTATACGAAGTGAAAGTGAAACTCTGCTTACAGATCGTATTTAACAGACTGCAAAACACTCTTCTAAAGAGATATTTTGTACCTTTTTCGTAACAAATGGCACTGGAAGCTTAGTTCCTCTTAAATACATGATGAATTCTGTCAAATATATCGCAATATTACATAGTTGGAGTGTTCTATTGATGGGAACATTTGATGGGACATTTCAACGTGACTTAGCCCTTTGTTACAATTCGAAATTG